TACAAAATAAATTAAAAAAAACATTGAAAAACATCCTTAAAACATACTATAAATCCGATGCACGTACTGGACAGCCCACGAACAGCTGGCAACCGCATAGGCCAGTCCGAAAATTTCACTTTTTCCATCCGAAATGAGGCAAAAGTTGCCGAAAGTCCGACAAGTCGTCCTGAAGAAATTAAATCGGTTCTGCAGCCCGGAAACCCCGCCGTAATGGACGAAAATGGCCATTTCCAACAGCATTCCCAGCACTCCAATGGCGAGTTTGTGCGGTCTTTCTTTGGAAAATCTACGCGACATTTTCAGGACTTTTGGACAACAGTTAGACTGGTTCTAAGGATCGCTGGGGGAAAAAAGAAACTAATGCTTGGAAGTGACCGAAAACAGAACCTCTGATTCAATTCTAATTTATCTTATCGGAAACTTTATCGGGACTGATAAGGTGGATTTATGAGCAGTGATTAGGCAAAGCACGAATTCAGATTGGAAAATCCGGTAAATTATTGAAACAGCGAAAATAATTACCTGATTTTTCTTTAGCCAACTGGAAACGGCATTTTTGCATTAGAATCGAATAAAAGGGAATAAGAAGGCGTACTTTTGGCCCCGTCATTATTAGTGAAACTTCAGGAAATGTTACCGAAACCGAGTGCATAAAGTTTCATTTTTTATATTCATTTTCTTCTCTCTTCGTTGTATCTTTCCAGCCGCCTCGATATTAGAGTCTCTTTGCCTTCATTGGACCCTTATTTGCTGGTTTAGCTAAGATAACAGGGAAAGTGTAGTTTTGTCTTGTTGACTTTGTGTCTTGTTGCGAAAAAAACCAAATTAAGCAAAATCGGCAAAGAGCCGTTGTCTTTCCCTCATCAAATCACCAAGCGAAACGATTTAGACCTAAAGACAAAATTTATTGAGGTACATTGGAAGCTGTTGAAACATACCCAGCGACCGAAATGATGAAGAAACACTCAACAACCACCAATCTATACTGAATAATACAATAAAACAATGTAGTACAGCGATTAAAATTAAAATAATAATAAATCTGGAAGTTAATCGTCCACAAGGGCCACGTGCCCGATACAAAGGGACGGTTATCTGGAACAGAAGGCGCAATATTCGATGCCCTGAAAGGTATGAAGAGACGTCAGATCCAAAGACTCCCACCTGGGGAGCTGATGGGAAACGCCACTTATTGTTTCCAGAGCTAACAGGATCGTCCTTAGGGACTTTCGTTTGTC